ATGCGCGCGCGTGCTCACGTGTATATATATGCGCGGGTGTGTTTGTGTGTGAGTGTGTTTTTATGGTGTTTCGAAAGTCACACACATTTTTTTTTACAAAAGACAAATCTCCCCCACCCCCCACCCCGCCCCCTCCCAAAACAAGAGGAGCGGAAACACAGACAGACAAGTGGGATATCGAGCGTTGATCGGAACTGTAGAAAGACGAAAAAATCAACAACAACAAAAATGCCGCTACACAGGGAAGGGAAGGCTCAGACGGCTATTATCGATCGCCTGATACGAGAACGTTGCCATGGAAACGGAAAGATCGATTTTGTCTGGCTTAGAAGTGTGTGGATCGTCGGAAATTGGACGTCCTGTGGGATAGGTAGTCAGGGGCGGCTAGTTTCCCGATTATTGAAAGCTAGGAATCGGAGGAATCGACTCCGAACCCAATTCCTTTTTTTGTAGTTTTAGTTTTAGTAAGAGTTTTACGGCACTTGCAACACAATAAGGTCATAAAAGCGCCGAAGATTAGAGGTGTTACAAGAGAGTAACAAATACAAAAAAAAAGAAGGGGGGATAAGGACGATAGATGTTTGATAGGAATGAAGAAGCAAACCACATCAGAGCACCCGCCAACCAACCACCTCAATTACTTTCTGATGATGTGATTTCGTCCGGTGGTTACCTTGTTGGCTCCAAATATCTCTAGGATTTAGGATAACTTTGATTTCGGAACACTACGAAGCGTCAACTTTTATTTTTCGAATAACAAAGAAAAAAAAGAAGATGTTTATGATTAAAGTAACTGGTAACACTGCGAAGCATCAACTTTTATTTTTCGAATAAAAATTTTTAAAAAGAAGATTTTAATGATTAAAGTAACTGGTAACCTGATCGCAGGAATCGGTTCCAGACTCGATTCTCTGCCAGCTCTCGTGGTAGGGCCTACATAATCTCGTGCAGGTCGCAGCGAGCGGTCGGTCCCAGCACATATAGGCCTACTGGAGTACAGTGACAGCGGGTGATCTGACCTCAGTCAATAATACAAACGGACTATGACACACACACACACACACACACACACACACACACACATATAT